TCATTCTGGAAACTGTAATCCGAACTGCAACAGACAACACCTTCAATGGCTGACGCTCTATCTGTGAATTCCCAATTCTCCCTCACTTAGAACACTAACTACCACTCACTGGTGGTGAAACTAATACACGACTTAACTTGTCCAAACCAGGTATTACTATACTTAACCGTTGAATGAATAATCTACGCAAAAGAATCCTCCCGACACGGAGCTACCGAACTTCAAGAGAAACCTGAATCCCCGGTTGAATAGTTCAGAATTTCCAAATTACAATTTCTCACCCTGGAATGGCGATTTTCTACCCTAACTTCTCAACCTCAAATGCATCCCTGGATCCTAACCATCTACAACCCTTTGATACTAAATTCCCTGACCCTCCTATGTTCTAACGTCCCATGCATAAGGCAATGAAAGTTCTCATTACAATCATAAACAGTAAGCTGAAATATAGAGACACACCATTTGCTACATCGGGTGCTGTGCTGGCCTCCTCAGCAGTGAGCTGGAAGGTGCGTCCACGAGCCCTCGGGGTCTCTACTCTACCCTGGCTCGCATCGGTAATCCTCAGTGTAGCCAGCGCTGGAGCCTACGCCAGCCTGGCAGTGAGATGTGGACAGTTGGTCGTCACGTGACCAACCTGATGGTAATGGTAGCATATCCTCATATCTTGAACCGAGGCTGGCTAGCGGCAATCCCGCGCAAAGTGCCCCTCCTTACCGCATTTGCGACACGCGCTATCAGATCTACAAACCCCAGAGTGACCCTTCCCGCACTTGCCACAAGTGCGGCCATGCTGGCCTCCCGACCTAGAATCAGTGGTCTTAGACCGCTTGGCACCGACTGTGACTGTGTTGGGGCCTGCCGGTGCTCTCTCAACTGCAGCTCAGTCTCTAGCTCACGCCATCTAGCGGCCTTCTGTAACTCCAAAAATATATCACAATGCTGGGTAGCCACAAACTGACAGATGTCCGTCTTGAGCATGCTCAGATAATGTGTCATCTGAGCCTGCTCAGAAGCAAACTCCTGGCAAAACATCGCCCTCTCAGTAAACATACGAGTGATCTCCATCATCGACTCTACATCCTGTTTCAAATCCCGAAACTCCTGAGCAAGCCACTCTCGCTCGACCCGTGGTATGTAGCGAGGGCAGAACATATCCCTGAACTGCTCCCAAGTAACCGCAGCTCTCTGATCATCTGTATACAACCCCGTCATCAACCTCCACCAGTCCTTTGCCCCGGACCTCAGCAAGTTCAGGGCACATCTGGCCCTCTGGTCAGCAGGACATGAGCACGTGAAGAAACATCCCACTATGTAAGATAGCCACCTCATGGCTATGATTGGGTTCTGAATCCCATCGAAAGTCGGGGGCTTCGTGTTATCGAAGTCCCGATACTAAAAGGCTCGACTGGCTCCACCCCTGCCGCCGTTACAGTTGTTGAAGCTGCTACGACAACCGTCTCAGTGAATGCTGCATAACGCTTATCGAAATACTCCATCATGGCGGTCTTGATAGACCCGAACATCTCCGGCAACTGAGCCCGGAACATCGCAGCAACCTCATCATGCAGGATCTCCCGATTCTTGGCGTCCATCTCGTCTGACCCATATGGCCGATAGTCTCGGGCAATGTTGGTGCTTCCTATCCGCCATCTCCGGATCCTGATTCGGATCCAGTTAGAAATCGTCTAGTAACCACCATGCTGAAAATATACTAGGAAGATATCAGATTCTCCATATAATAATCCGGGAACCAACTCCCAACAGGACTCTAGGGGTTGTGACTTCCTTGCTACGCGTATGGGTCCTGTGCTTTCAGTAGTACGGGCCCATACTACATTCCACACCTACCCATATTTGTCTCAAGTATCATCACAGCGCCCTTACACTATACGTAAGCATGGCATGCGCTCAATCCTCACTCCTAGAGGGAGGCCACATATCTGATAACTGACAGACTGATCGCAAACACTCATCCATCAAACTTCCACCAACCCTGCAATACTAGTGTATGCTAACCATACATAACGCTAGACCCTATGGTTTTATACAAACCTTTTTAATGATTTCTATTATTTTTACAATGTCTATTTTTATATTTTTATTAATATCAATGTATTATTTTTTTTTACTTTAAATAAATAAAAAAAGTTATCTTTTATTTTTAACAAACTATACCATTTAATTTTTATACCATGTTCAAAATAATATAATTGTTGAATATTATTGATTTTAGTTCTATTTTTATTCTTATAAAAAAGTTAAAATACTTATTTAATAAATATATAGATCAATATAATCAATGGGTCCACATATTTAAGTTTTTAGATTTTTTTTCATGTTCTTAAATGTGTTATTTATTTAGTTATATAAAGATCATAGTTGACAACTTGATGCTTTAAATATAATATTAGATTTTGCTTTGGTATGCTTGGGACCACAAGAATTTCAATTGAGTTGTGGAATCTCATGAGTGTATAGCGTAATGATGAATGTGGAATTTAATCTAATTCGTAAGCACGTGGATGGACTTATATTAGTGTTGGAACTGGATGGATTAATGTTAGAAATAACTTGTTTTTACTTTTTATACAATCAACAACAAAAAATCTAAAAAGAAATGTTTGAAAAAAATATGAATTTTTGGAAAAACCATAAAAGCTTATTGGATTTGATTTTGGGAAACATTTTCGAAAAAATGAGTGATTGTAGACCCTGCCTTACTGATCCCGAGTGTTCGTCGAGAGGTCTGAAGCAACTTATACTACACATTTTTTTACCTCTAAAGGTTCAACGGTTTGCAAGTGGTTGATAGCTCAAGTAAGAACGCTTGGAGGAAAACAATACATGACCAATTGACCATTGTATCTTGTTTTTATGGTTTGTGGACCGCCACTAAAGTTCACACTACAAGTGGATTGACTATGATGGTAAACCAGAATAATGGAGTAGTCTGAGTTTCGTCAACCATTATATATACATCTTGTGTTCGATTTTATATTTCTAGCTAGCTATCTCTTAATTTTTTTATGTTGTCACATTTAAAATTTATCATTGGAATTCCTAACCCCTAGTTGAGATATTGTAACTAATTTGTATATATTTTTATATAAACTAAGTGTTGCTTATATGTTATAAACCATAATTTATTTGGTGTTTTGACTTTTATATATACTAAGTGTTGCTTATATGTTATAAACCTAAGGTGCACCAATCGAATAATATGTAAGAATGATTTGTTTGATCATTTTATATGTTAATCCGTTAATGAATGCTTGTCCTTTTCCCTCCTTGAACATATACCCATTCCCCCTCCCTCGTCACCAACTTGAACCCCTCCCTCACCTGCTTCTGCTCTCTCATATTTTCCTCCCGCCAAACCTCCCCACTGGAGCCTAGCTAGGCATAGAAGGTTCACACAATATATGATCATCCATCCACAATTTGTCATCTCCCATACTTCTGCCCCAACAATTTAGGCTTTTGATTTTGCTTGTTTTGGTACCAAATTTCCATTTAGGTTCACAAAATCTTAATTTTTCTGGTTTTGGTCAAGTTTACATGTACTCTTGAATCTTGATTGTTGTCTGGTTATTTTAATGGTCCAATTTCATTCGAGTATAATTTTGGTGTGATATTGGTGTTCACACGTGTGTAATATGTTCTTGACTTCTAGGTGCTTGGGGTTAAAATATATTATAGGAAGAAAAATAGGAAATCAAAATAAAATCAAATTCATAAGAGATTAATAATAATAAGAAAAGGAGGATAAATTGGAGTTTATATTTTAAAAATGAAAAAGAAAAGATAGCAAAAGCAACCTAACCTACTAGATCCGTTACATAAAAATAAGGGTAAGAAGCGATTTCATCCATCTCTAAATGTACACCCAGTGGATAAACTCACATTTGTCCAACCAACTTTCCTCATCTGTCAAAGAATGGTCATGATTATAGTGGTATTGTTCGGGTTTCTGGTTAATCGGGAAATTTTCATCCAAACCAAAAATCCAAATGTAAACCACAAACCGGTAGATGATTTTTTTAATAGTTGGTTTTTGTTGTTCAAGAAAAGGGGAAAGTTGATTTTTCCCTTTAGAATTATATGTCAAAAAGCTAAATAATGTGAACAATCGGATTAGGCCAACCCATGCTATAATAAAAACAGGGGACTATGTCATGGAATATTAACCATAAGTCAACAGTACCTTCTTTAAGAGCTGGATGAGCAACATTCAGTACCAAAATAATTGATCCCCTTCTTATAACCCTCTACGTACTCCTAACCCTGAACATTACATATAAAATCCATAAATAGCTAAAGAGTAAAAGCTAGAATCAAGGAACTACCAACACGCAAAAACTAAATGGAAAACTTTCCTCCACTATTTGTGCTTCATTTTACCGGTCTGAACCTTCATTTTTTATCCCAAAGCAAGTGAATAGGATCATCGTGAAACAAGTTCCATAAGAACATGTAGCTGCATAGAAACGAAACAAAAAGGTATAAATGTTCATAACAGTTGAATTAAAAAACTTGGGTGGTTAATTAAGCTAGTTCAAAAAAGGATTTGATGTGCTTAGGTGGAGCAAATTTAAAACTTGGTTACTATTTAATGACATTATCCCTAAAATCAATTATTAAAGCTAGGCCACCAATTGCTATAAATAGAAAATTTTGTTAAAGTTTAAGAAAAAAAATACAAAATACTTAAAAGCATGTTTTTATAATAAACAAAATAAATAAGAATATATTATCATTTCATGTTTGGACCATATTTTCTTTCCCCAGTTTTTTTTTCTTTGGCTTAACAGTTGATTCTTCATCTACCTAGCTATAGCAAAAGCAATATGTTTATTATCTTTCCACTATGGCGACTAATGCTTCATCTCTCTCTAGATAGTGCATGTCTTATTCATTTATGATTGAACAACGTACAAATGGTCTATATAAAGAACATTGCACATCCACACAATTAAAATATTTCAAACCCTTTTTCCATGGCTTCATACTTGAATCACTTCAGCTTGTTGCGAACCATCTCCCTTTTATACTTTCTATTCACACTCATTTGCAGCGGATCATCTCTAAGCCATGATGAGGAATGCTCAGCCTTGTATCTGTTCAAGCAAAGCTTAATTCATCAAGATGATGAGTTTTGCGCTGCTACTTGGTTTCAAACATTCAAATCTTGGAAGCCCAGAACCAGAAGCAATGCATCGGATGCTGGTTTTGATTGTTGTTCGTGGTATGGGGTGGAGTGCAGAAATGACCATGAGAATGGTCATGTGATCGGCCTTGACTTGAGCGAATGCTCTCTTTGCAGGCATATCAACTCTAACAGCACTCTCTTCAGCCTTGTTCATCTTCAGAGGCTCAACCTTGCCATGAACAACTTTGATGAATCTCACATCCCATCTGAGATTGCTCATCTAAAGCAATTAAGAAGCCTCAATCTCTCTTATTCTGGGTTTAGTGGCCAAATCCCAAACGAAATCTCAGAGTTGATGCAATTGTCTTCCTTAGATCTGTCGATGAATCTACTAAAGCTTCAAACTCCTAGTGGCTTCGAGAATCTAGTGCAAAACTTAACAGGACTCGAAGAACTCGATCTCTCATGGGTTGACATTAGTTCTTCCGTACCTCATTTCTTGGCGAACTTTTCTTCTTTGAGGTCAATCAGGCTGTATAATTGTTTGCTTCAGAATGAATTCCCAAAAGCCATACTTGAGATGCCAAAGTTAGAAATACTTGATGTGGCATCAAATACCAACCTCATTGGTTCCATTCCTGAATTTCATAGCAGCAGCTTGCTTAAATTGGGCCTTTCGGATTGATCTTTCTCAGGAACCATTCCAGGTTCGCTTTCTAACTTGACACAACTCACTGGCTTGAGTCTTGGTGGCAATAAGTTCAGAGGATTTGTTCCTTCATTGGCAAGTCTTTCAAAACTCAGTATTTTAAGACTTAGTGGTTGCAAATTCAAAAAGGGACGCTTTCCCAATTGGCTCGGCAATCTGACTAAACTTAATAAACTGTATCTAGATGGTATGAACACAAAAGGTGAAATCCCACCCTTTCTTGCAAACCTAACTGAACGTGCTGTTGTCGTGCTGGAAAGAAATTCTCTTACTGGTCATATACCGTCCTGGTTTTTCAACCTCACCCAACTATCATTTATAGACCTTCAACAAAATCAACTGCATGTTGAGTGTGAAGCCATTGGGTTAGTCAAAAGAAGTGGCAGGAAACAAGGACTCTCATGTGAACATGGAAAAATTGTTACGGCTGCAGAATTTCAACAATGGTGGCCTTATCAATTTCACATGTATGTGAATGGAAGAAAAGGCTTACGACTCAAAATATTATAAATAGGCTTCTTCCTTTCATTTGTAAAGCTTGTATCTAGTGTAACACAGAAAGAGTGCAGATTAACACCAAGAAATGTAAATTCCTAGTTACCGTTGGACGTAGGTCAGAGAAGGACCGAACCACGTTAAATCCCTCATGTTCATCCTTGTGTTCTTGTTTTTCGTGAGCTGTGTGTGTGTTTAGAGTCGTGTGTTAAGTGTCTCGATCCTAACAAGTGGTATCAGAGCAAGGTTGTAGCTCCAGAAGGTGATTTTCAGTTTTTTGGTCGAAATTTGTTTTCGTCAAAAACGATTTTGGTGTATACCGTTGGAAAGGTCTCGTTCCGAAGATTCCGAAAATATTTTTTTCTGAATTTTTTGACCACCGGAAGACGTCCAAATCGCCGGTCAAAGGTTTGCCGGAATAGTGACTGGAAAAACCAGTTCCGCCGGAGAAGACGACACTGTAGCGCCTGAACTTGCCGGAGAAGACGACACTGTAGCACCGAAGTTCTGCCGGAGAAGACGACACTGTAGCGGTGACGTCAGCAGACACTGTAGCACGCCGTCAGCGGTGACGTCAGTAGACACTGTAGCAGACACTGTAGCAGATTTGAAAAATTGCAGTTTAGCCCCTGAACTTTCAGAAAATTGCAGTTTAGCCCTGAACTTTCAGAAAAATTGCAGTTTAGCCCCTAATCTTTCAGAAAATGGCAGAAAGCAGTAAGCTTCAGATTGAGAAGTTTGATGGGAAAGATTTTGGTTGGTGGAAGATGCAAATTGAAGATTTGCTCGTGCAGAAAGACTTGGACGCAGTTTTAGGTGAAAAACCGGAGGCGATCACACAAGCAAACTGGGAGACTTTGGATAGAAGGCCAAGGCATTTATTAGACTGACGTTGTCAAAGGATGTTGCCTTCAATATTTTGAAGGAGACCTCGGCAAAGGGAATCATGGAGGCATTGTCTAATATGTACGAGAAGCCGTCGGCAGCAAATAAAGTCTTCCTGATTCGGGAACTAGTCAACACGAGGATGAGGGAAGGAAGTTCAGTTACAGTACACATCAACAATTTGAACTCGATTTTATCCAGACATGGGTCAGTGGGAATAAAATTTGAGGACGAAGTTCAAGCTTTACTACTGTTATCATCATTACCTGACAGTTGGTCTGGAACAGTTACAGCCGTTACTAGTTCTGCAGGATCGAAAGAGCTCACTTTTGAGGGAATTCGGGATTTAATTCTAGGCGAAGACGTCAGACGAAGAAATTTCGGGGAATCATCAAGTGAACAATTGAATGCGGTCAGAGGTAGAAAAATAACAGAGGTAGTGGAAGCGGGAACAGGAGAAGGAGTCAGTCGAGGACTCGAAATGATGTGACTTGTTGGAACTGGAAAGAGGTTGGACATTTCTGGAATCAATGTCCAAAAGACAAGAAAAAAGTTAACGTTGCAGTAGACCATTCAGATGATGATGTTTTGATCTGTAGTGTGGAGAGCAATGTGGATTCCTGGGTTATGGATTCGGGTGCTTCATTTCACGCTACCCACAACCGTGAAGCACTGTAGAATCTAAAAGAAGGAGATTTTGGTAAGGTAAGACTGGCGAACGATGAGGTTCTTGATGTGACGAGCATAGGTGACTTAGATCTGAAGACTCCAGTCGGTCCATGGACTTTGAAGGATGTTCGGGTAATTCCAAGTCTGAAGAAACAGTTGATTTCTGTTGGGCAGTTGGATGAACAGGGACACGAGGTTAAGTTCAGGAATGGGCAGTGGAAGGTTGTCAAAGGAAATCTTGTGATAGCTCATGGACATAAGAGGGGTTCATTATATATGGTCAGTTTACCGTCTGAGGGAGTAACCGTCCCAGTTCAGAAGAAAAACAAAATCTGTTTCATAGAGTCTCGTGGATAGAAGAAGGTTTGCTTTGCAGATGGCAAACCCAGAGTCACAGGTCAGATTCAGGTTGAACGTGTTTGGAACGGTTCAGAAAAACCAGTCAAGGGCATTCATAGCAGTGGGAGCAAGGGTTGTGCTTCAGCTAGAATACCCAGAACACAGTGGGTTAAGAGAACCAGTATTCCATCTGTAAAAGTCTCTCCAGATTATCTGCTTCACATGGAGAGTGTCGTTTGTTCTCAGGATGTTCCAGGATCGGGCAGTTCATTTCAGTGAGAGCCGGTGGAGACAGAGAACAGTTCAGTGGCAGACTTAGCCATGACTGATGTGTTGGAGCTAACGGAAGCTTCAACTAGCCTTCAGGTAAATTGAAGAGAAGGCCAGGGTAACTAGGAAGGAGTCAAGATCAAAAGTTTTTACAGAAATACAGATACACAGTTGAAGCAATGGTGAAGATTGTTTCGTGGCTTCAAGTGGGAGATTGTTGAGTGTGAAGCCATTGGGTTAGTCAAAAGAAGTGGCAGGAAACAAGGACTCTCATGTGAACATGGAAAAATTGTTACGGCTGCAGAATTTCAACAATGGTGGCCTTATCAATTTCACATGTATGTGAATGGAAGAGAAGGCTTACGACTCAAAATATTATAAATATGCTTCTTCCTTTCATTTGTAAAACTTGTATCTAGTGTAACACAGAAAGAGTGCAGATTAGCACCAAGAAATGTAAATTCCTAGTTACCGGTGGACGTAGGTCAGAGAAGGACCGAACCACGTTAAATCCCTCATGTTCATCCTTGTGTTCTTGTTTTTCGTGAGCTGTGTGTGTGTTTAGAGTCGTGTGTTAAGTGTCTCGATCCTAACACTGCAAGGACCAATTTCAAATTCATTCTCCAAATTCAAAAGGCTTCAATTTGTTAGCTTCTTCTGGAATGATTTCCATGGGAGGGTAGACATAGACATGTTCCTACAACTCAACAAACTTGATACTCTCAGGTTAGGTGATAACAGGATATCATTACTTGCCGCGAACAACTACACCAATAACACATTACCACAACTAATTGAATTGAACCTCAAATCATGCAACTTGAAGGAATTTCCTTCCTTTTTGCGCTTCCAAGATAAATTGAAAGACTTACGTCTCAATGACAACAAAATTGATGGCCTGGTACCAGTGTGGATTTGGAACAACAGCAAAGAAACATTAGAGGTGATTGACCTTTCATACAACTCCATCACTGGCTTTCATCAGCAACCTCGTTTTCTCCCATGGAGATCTTTGCAACTATTTTTCATCAGTCATAATCAGGTATGAGGGCAGCTACCAATTCCACCACAAACTACAATTGCTTATGGAGCCGAAAATAACAATCTGACCGGAGAAATACCACCAATGATATGTGAAATGAAATCTCTACAAATGTTAGATTTGTTTTCTAACAACCTAAGTGGAACACTTCCTCCGTGTTTTGGTAGCTTAAGCAATTCGTTGTCGTTTTTGGATCTGACCAGAAACAACTTTCATGGAAAAATTATGAATTCATTTATCCATGGATGCATGTTGGAAAGTTTTGATGTGAGTGAAAATAGATTTACCGATCAGCTCCCAAGATCATTGACAAATTGTACCAATTTAAAGGTTCTCTCTCTTGGAGCTAATTCTTTTGATGATGTATTTCCTTTTTGGATGGGAACTCTTCCGGAGTTGCAAGTTCTTGATTTGCGGTCCAACAAAATTTATGGTCCAATTCAAGGTTCCACAGCTGTTTCCACACACTTCTCTAAGCTGCAGATCATAGACCTCTCTAACAATGGTTTTAGTGGTCAATTGGACCAAAAGTACTTCCAAGCATGGAATGCAATGAAATCTGTTGGCAAATCATCTGTTATGGAAGCTAATGACAAATCATCTGGTTTCAGTTGGGATTATACAATAAGAGTAATTCACAAAGCTGTCAATACTCAGTACGAACATATCTTAACCATAGATATGGCTATTGATCTCTCTTGTAACCATTTTGAAGGAGAAATCCCACTATCACTCCAAGATCTTCAAGGGCTTCAATCACTCAATCTTTCCAACAATCATTTTACAGGAAGCATATTGCCCTCACTAGAATCTCTAAAGAATGTCGAAGCTTTGGATCTCTCCCAAAATGAGTTATCAGGAGAAATTCCTCAACAGTTGGTACAACTCAACTTCCTTTCAATTTTCAATGTGTCATTCAACAATCTTGAGGGGCGCATACCCCAAGGAAAGCAGTTCAATACATTCGAAAACAGCTCCTACATGGGTAATTCTCGATTGTGTGGACACCCTTTATCCAAGGAATGTCAAATTTCAAAGGCGTCAAGACTTCCACCACCAACCAATACGTCCGACTCCGAATCTCTCTTCCCAAGCGAAAGAATTGATTGGATCATCATATTCTGTGGAGTTGGAAGTGGGCTGGTTGTTGGGATTTTTATTGGCAACTTTCTATATGGAAAGTATAGTGATCGGTTCACAAAGAGGAAGGACAGATGGGTAAGGCCTCTTCGTAACACAAGGAGAAATCAAGGTACAATAATCCTTTAGTATTAACTTACAACTTCGAAGCAATTTTCCAAGACAATATTATATGAGCTTCATCTACAAAAATTTAGTACTTTTATAAAGGATTTTTTTTAAAACTACATTTTTTACTTGAAAACAATGGTTACAAGATATTTGTGAGATTAACAGAGATATGTTTCTCAACATTGTTTCTTAACAATTACTTTTAGGTGTTCATCATTATCAAAAAAATTATTAAATTATATATCAACCCACTTATACATCTAAGCAAGGATTATATTATTTACATATTTTAAATTTAAAATACTATGGAAAATATTTTTAATTTTTTACTTGGATACGTTATCTGTCCAACTATGTGATGTCGGTCTGTATTTTCAACAAGGTATTTTTTATGGTACATTTATGATGATATTTATGAAGGCATGTTTGTGTCGAATGTGTTATATATGGTATGGTACATGTTTAAAGTATTTTGGTATGTAACCATATTTTCTCATGTACACATATTATGACTGTGGATGCAACATTTTCTATAGATAGAAAACCATGAATTACCATAATAATCCTTACCTTAACATGTATCTCAGGAGTATCATAGCTTCAAGTTCGAAGGACAAGGAGAATATATAGAAGGTCAAGGGATTTTAGTCTGTTCACTGTTAAGTATGTGGATTTCAATTCTATCTCTCTGAGTTAGGATTTTAGTTTGTTTACTATTAAGTATGTGGATTTCAATTCTATTTCCTTGAGTTAGACTTTTCTTGTTAGCTTTTTATATACCTAAGACTTCTGTTGCTTATGTGTATCCTTGATACATAAAAGGCATACTTGTTTTAAAATGTGATATACTATCTCGGACTATATTCTAGAGGATTTCAGTGTCAAGAAGGTATTTCTTTCATGCTTTTAAACAACTTCATGGACCGCTTTATTCGTTTAACTATCATCAATTTCTAAGTTAAGTCAACAATAACCCTTATAAAAAGAAACTCCCAACTGATCTTTTTTGGGTTGATTATGAGGCTTGATAATGGTTATAGCTTAACTATTAAGTATTAACCATACTTTTATCACCAATTTTGAGCAATATCAAACAAAGAAATCAATTCAATACACATTCCTTGCTCAACTGATCTTCTGTGCTTGGATCCGAATAAAGCACTAGTACAGATACAAAAATCTATCGATTGCTACCTTGATAACTTCTAATTGCTTTGATTCAAGTATGGTGTTTTGCTAACTTACACATCCCTTAAATTATTGTATTAGGCACAAAGTCCCATCTGGCTGATCAGGTGGTTGCACGATAATCATCTTATTGCTTAGATTTATCATGCCATCTTTGAAGACAAGTCGTTTTCACTTTCAAAGATACCATGAAAGAATTTGTACATCCAATAACCCTTACTATACTCTTGCCATTATATCACAACTAGGTGTGAGACACATGTATTACATGGGTTTATTTAAAAAAAATTAAATATGAAATTTTAACAATTTAAAAAGTTTGAATTTATAAGAAAAATGAGAAAAAAATTTAAATTATTAAAATTAATGAGTCTTTAATACATTGAATACATTACATATATAAATATTTTCTAATAAATACCTTACATATATATATTACCTTACATATTAAATGTGGAATTTTAATTTAATAAAATGAAAAATACAATAAAATGACAAGTGGAAAATAGAAAATTCATAAATTCTAGAAAATGCCATGTGTCCGAATGAAGGAGAAGAGGGCATGTGGCAAAAAAATCTTGATTTATTAAGAAGGATTCTCATTGTTCTTTTTAAACAAGTAGCATAGCATATTTATTACTCTTCAATATGTTGGTTGCATAGTAATCAGGAGGCACAAATAATTGGTTTGTCCCCAACTTAAGCAAACAGGGAACTTTTTCATGATTGGTTGATTACTATATCACAATTAATCTATCATCAATATGCAATATATAATACTAATTTGTAACAATTTGTACATTTCAATGCCCTCCTATACATGACACTAAAATGCCCCAAACAACAAAACCCTGCCACTTCCTAGTTCCTTCAGCCCCTCCCCTGTTTCCTATTTGGTTGAATCTCACATTTAACTTACTGCTTACTTGATTGAACATCATCTCATAGTTTTAGCTTATATATACTACTAGGTGTGAGACCCATGTATTACATGAGTTAAATAAAAAAATAAATATCAAAGTGTAAACATTAAGTATTTTTTTAAATTAAAATTTAAAATAAGGAAGCAAAAAACATATTTATTGCAATTGATGATCATATTTATTACATTTAATACTTTACTTATATAACTATATATATTATGTGGCTTTTTAATTTTAAAAATTAAAAAAAAAACTTAGAAATTGACATGTGAATATTATTTATTTCAAAAATACCACAAAATGACAAGTGTCAAAACTTATATGAGATTGACATGTGACAAAATGAATCTTCATTTATTAGAGTAGATCTCAATTTTATTTACCAACATTTTTAATCCACTTTAATCATCATTACCTAATTTGATTTAGAATTTCCCAAATTTAACAAAATTAGGTCACAAAACGCATTCTCAATTCAACTTTATTCTAAGTTAGTTATATGTCTTTAATTTAGCGTAGGTTCCAACAACTATTATTTTACAATCATCAGTTTAAAACAACTCAAAATGTTTTACAAAGATATGAACATATCTTCACTAATGCGACTCCGACTTCAAACCAAACTTATTTTCTTCAACATTAAAAGTGGGATGTATAAATTGATATACTATGTATGATCTTCAATTCATTGATTTCCTTCACGAAAAAAATTACTTTAATCATATTTCCTATATTTAGTTTCAATTAAACCCTCTAATTTGTTTTCAATGTTGACTTGTCTTGAACATTTTTAATTCTTATATATATTTTTGGAAACAGAATGAAAGCCTACTCACAATATTTCAAGCAACACCCCAGGTTTGAGCTCCTTTACAGGTCAAACCTAGACCTCGTAGAAATTTCTAAGGAAAATTTTCTCACATATGGCACCACCAGAGGTAATTTAAGGGAATAATCTACTATTTTGACGTAATTATACCAAATACTCTTATTTATAAATTATTTTAAGTATTTTCTCAAAAATATATGTAACATCCCGAAATTCCAAGTATCATATTTAAGCAATTTATATTCATTATGACAGAGCAACTCGACGAGTTGGGTGCCCAACTCGGCTAGTGGGGACGGTTTTTGGCCACGTGGGTTTAGTGACCAACTCGACGGGTTGAGAGACCAACTAGACGAGTTGGAGTTGTTTGGGGAAACCCTAATTCCCCAGGTTTGTGTCTTATTTAAAGGACCTTAAGCCTCATTCCAGCCACCCATGACACCTTAGAGCTCTGAGAAAAACCCTAGACCAGCTCCATTCGATTTTGTGAGAGAGAGAGAGAGACTAAATTGAGTGATCTTGTGCGTTTGTGTAAAGAGACTTTGGATAGCAACACGATTTGGATCAAGGAGAGACTCTTGGATCCGATTTTCTTCAGTGATTAGCTTCTACAGAGGTAAAAAGCTCCTATCTTGAGCCTTTCTTGTGATAGATCTCTTCGTATGGAGTTTAAGGGCTTATTTCCACCCATCTTTTGGTTTTTGAGTTATTGAGCTGATAATGGAGGTTGAGACTCCAGATTTGAGCTATATGAGTCCCTGTGAGCCTAAATATCAAAGCTTTATCAAGCTAGAGGAAAGCTTTTACACATTGGACCCTTTATGGAGCTTCTTTTAGACATTTTGAGCCTTCATGCCATGCATGAACGTAAAGTTTGCAGCTTTACGTGTTGATTCAGCCTTAGGAGGCTAGGTCCAGAGTATGAGACCTTAGTTATGCCCAAAATCGTCTGAATGAGAAAAGGGACTGAAGAGACTCGACGAGTCGGTGAGTTGACTCGACGAACCGGTTAGGGTTTACCCCGATGGTTTGGACGTGTCACTAACTCGACGAGTTGACGAGACAACTTGACGAGTTGAGAGGGTTTTATCCGTCTGTGGAATCAGAACGGACTCGACGAGTTCATGAGTTTTACTCGGCGAGTTGAGTCAACATGGACTGTTGACTTAAGTGTTGACTCCCATTGACTTTTAAAGTCGGGTCAATGTTGACTGTTGACTTCCGTTAACTTTAGGGTTTTGGTCAACTGTGGATTTTGGAAGCCATGGGCGGGTAGAGATTAGACCAGCAGCTCGAGTAAGGAATGCATTGCTTTACTCTACGAGGCGAGTCTTCTCACTATACTTACTTGAGCGGTAGTTATTGTGTGACAAGAGGGTCTTCATTGAGATACAGGACCGGAGGGTCCAACCTGGGCTGTAAGACTGGAGGGTTCTCACTATAGACCAGAGGGTCTTATTTGCTTATACTATGATATGTGTTAATCTGCATCCTGTCTTTGTGACTTATGCTATCATATTATTATGTGTATATATTGAGTTATAACCGCAGGGTCCTATGTGTTTATATTGCGTTAGGTGATGTTATGCATTTTGTCTTGTGAGATGTATTATTCTGTGCTTCACTGAGTTAGGACCGGAGGGTCTATCCCGAGTTGTGGGACCAGAGGGTCTTTACGGAGACACATTGATTGGAGGGTCTTTATCGAGATATAGCCATGAGAGGCTAATGAGATGTGTGCAGTATTTTAGGGAACTCACTAAGCTTCGTGCTTACCGTGTTGTGTGATATGTGTTTCAGGTACTTCTCAGGATCGCGGGAAGCCGCCGTCTTGATTGTACACACGAGATGGAGTTATGTTTTTGAGGATCCTCGATTTTTATTCAAACAATTATGGAGTTTTGCTTTTGGTAATTTGACACTTTGAGGTTTTTGTGAAATGTGTTAACGAGAATTATGTGATTAAAAAATGAAAATTTTGTTTGAAAATTTTTGGTGTTACATGTTGTTATCAAAGCCTTGGTTTGTGGGATTCAGATGTAGCCTCGGGTATGTCTGGACTCAAACTGAGGATTTAA